ACCACACCACCCCTTGAGGGGTCGTTAGTGCGACCACCCACCACCAACCACCACTACCACCACCAGCCTCCTTGGTAGTGGTGGTAGTGGTGCTTCAGTTCTGATCCCAACCCCCCAACCCCCTACCCCTCCCCCCCTCACATCCTACCACACACACTCATCCTAATATCCTGTTTTTTTAATCTCTTTTTCTATAAGTTATACTGTCATGCTTGTTTGGTTCATGATTCGATTCTCCATTTTTGTCTATATAATTCCTTGATTCCATGTCTGGCAGCTGGTCTTAGTGTCTAGCTGCCTTCCTCCTAGCTGCTTCACTCCTAGCTGCCTCCCTCCTAGCTGCTTCACTCCCAGCTGCCTCTCTCTCAGCTGCCTCCTTCCCAGCTGCACCTCTCCCAGCTGCCTCTCTCTCCCTCCCTGCCTGTCGACGGAAGTGATCTCTCTGTCAAAATTAGGTATCAATATACGCCTGGCCAGAGACGATGTTTTCAGCTAGGTTTCTGAAGATGTTTATCCGAACTTAACAAGTGTGTGTGGTGAGAATGTCAAGGTTGGCGGAGAAGGAGGACGTTCTCAGAGTTACGGACGGTTCTAGACCTCTCCCACACACACACACTCATGCTCCTGTAACACGACCTTCTTCCTCCTCTACCTGGATCCAGAAGTGAAGTTCAGATACAGAAAAGCGTGGAGTTGGTACAGTGATGAAAACCTCTTTACCTCTCCCAAACAGACTCCTCTCTTTTGTTCATATTTTGTTCAGTTGATTTTGACTACAGTATGTCTGGTGAGTGAGTGAGTGAGTGAGTGGTGAGTGAGTGAATGAGTTAGAGGGTGAATGGATGGTTAAGTAAGTTTTTGCATATTTGAATGACTCGTAGAATTAAATATTGGAGAAAACAGGAAATACTTAAAAAAGAGAAACAAGGTTAAAAAAATGTCTTACTTAATGAAGCAAGCAGAGACAGAGAGACAGACAGACGGATATAGAGCCAAACGATAGACAGGAATGCCGTGGCACCCAGAGTGGGGGGGTAGGGGATAGGGAGGGGGTGCCACGTGACGTGCCAAAGTGCCATCACAAGCCCCAAGGAAAGGTGTTAACTAGCCTTAAGGTGCCATCAGGAGTCACAACTCTCCAGGTGAATCAAGGTGTGATCACAGAGGGCCAGGGGAGGGGGGGGGGGAGGTGGCACTACCCATGCCCCCCCTCACCTGGTGACGAGAAGTGAGGGGGCGACATATCTCCTCCCCCCTCACCTGACAAGTGTGGGGGGAGGGTGGTTACATCAACCCCCACCCACACTTAACAAGGGTTAGGGGGGGAGAGCACACACACACACACACACACACACACACACACACACACACACACACACACACACACGCACGCACGCACGCACGCACACGACTCCAAGATCAAAATGGTGGATATGATCAATAAATGAGACCTATTCGTCAGCCAAAGAGAGAGAGTTTATGTTCCATTTGGGGCCTATATATATATATATATATATATATATATATATATATATATATATATATATATATATATATATATATATATATAATATATATATATATATATATATATATATATATATATATATAATATATATATAATATATATAACTCCTATCATTAGGTTAGCATTATTTTTTATGATATTCTCTCCAAATATATTGTGTGCGGCTGGGGTTTTGAACCCATCTGTTACCCAATATATCAAGTTTTCTCAGACATATCTAGTGTCCTTCCTCACCTGCCCTGTTTAGCAGTGTAAACTATTTTGTACTCATTAATTATTCATCCAATATTTACATATTTTATATATTCATTCTTCCGCTGTTTCGTGTATTCTTATCTTCCAGACTTATCATGTAATTAAAAAATGGTTAATTTTCTTTCTCTAAATAGACAAAGAGTAACTGGAGACATGATTTAAGTATACATATATGTATACGTATATGTGTGTGTGCACAGGGTGGTAATTAAGGGGAATGTTAATAGGGTGTTAAATATATCAACAAATGACATAACACGAAACAACGTATGCAAATGAGATTAGTTTAGATTCAGTAAAGACCGAGGTAAAAACAGGGCTAGAAACAAGGTTGTTGAATTATGGAACAGATTACATGTACCCATAATAGTCGTCGAGGGGTCGCTTGATTATTGCAGGCGAGTTTAGACATAAAGATAAGTACGTGTGTGAGTGTGTGTGTGTGTGTGTGTGTGTGTGTGTGTGTGTGTGTGTGTGTGTGTGTGTGTGTGTGTGTGTGTGTGTGTGTGTGTGTACTCACCTATTTCACCTATTTGTACTCACCTATTTGTGCTTGCAGGATCGAGCTTGGCTCTTGGACCCCGCCTTTCTACCTATCGGTTGTTTACAGCAATGACTCCTGTCCCATTTCCCTATCATACCTAATTTTAAAATTATGAATAGAGTTTGCTTCCACAACCTGTTCCCCAAGTGCATTCCATTTTTCCACTACTCTCACGCTAAAAGAAAACTTCCTAGCATCTGTGTGTGTGTGTGTGTGTGTGTGTGTGTGTGTGTGTGTGTGTGTGTGTGTGTGTGTGTGTGTGTGTGTGTGTGTGTGTGTGTATACTCACCTATTTGTGCTTGCGGGGGTTGAGCTCTGGCTCTTTGGTCCCGCCTCTCAACTGTCAATCAACTGGTGTACAGATTCCTGAGCCTACTGGGCTCTATCATATCTACACTTGAAACTGTGTATGGAGTCAGCCTCCACCACATCACTGTCTAATGCATTCCATCTGTTAACTACTCTGACGCTGAAAAAGTTCATTCTAACGTCCCTGTGGCTCATTTGGGTACTCAGTTTCCATCTGTGTCCCCTTGTTCGCGTACCACCCGTGTTAAAAAGTTTATCCTTATCTACCCTGTCAATTCCTCTGAGAATTTTGTAGGTAGTGATCATGTCTCCTCTTACTCTTCTGTCTTCCAGGGTCGTGAGGGCAGTGTGTGTGTGTGTGTTAAGATAGTATACCACGCAGGGGTCAGTATATCATCCTGCTTCAGCTTATTCTATTTTTTGCGTAATTTGGAAACATTTCAGAAGGGCATATTAGCAGTAATCTGGACTTGACGTTCATGTAATAAAGATTTGTTATCCGACAAATATAATTCGAGTTAAAAAAATATTTCTAGATTGTAATTTTTTTTAAATAATAATTGATAACCTACTTATTTTTTTTATATGTATATATACCATTCTCAAGTTCAATTTTTATGGGATTCTCATGTACTCGTTTAGTGGTAGAGAGAGACTTCCACAGCACCGCTTCTGTGCCAAGTAAATCCACTACGGGCTCACCATAGCCCGTGCTACTTGGAACTTTTTGTTCTGAGTAGCTGAATCTATAACAACAACAGTTCTCTCACCTTGAGGTAATCTTCGTAGAGGAATTGAGTATATTTGTCTCAATTGTATCTATTTGAAACAATTGTATCTGTTACATTAGTTTAATTATGCGCTTATTAGCTATATATTAACTTTAGTTAATTATGTAACTAATTATCTAAGTAAGGACATTTGGAATTTACAAGTATATATATATATATATATATATATATATATATATATATATATATATATATATATATATATATATATATAGTGTTCAAGTATATATATATATATTAGTGTTCAGTGAGAAACCACAAGGTCTCCTCTGAATACTTTTTATTTTCTTCTCCGAGGCTATGGGTCCCCACATTGGCACCAGAGGTGGTACCCTCACAAACTTTTATATATATATATATATATATATATATATATATATATATATATATATATATATATATATATATATATATATATATATATATATATATATATATATATATATATATATATATATATATAATAAGCAAATATCTGTATATGTTTTATGTATATGGGAAGGAGATAGTGGGTAAGGGGTTTGTGGGGGGGGGGTTGAATGGGGTTAGTGGGTAGGGGTTAGTGGGGGAAGGGGCTTAGTGAGGAAGGGGGGGGGGTTAAATGTGGATAGAGTCAGGGGGGGGAAAGGGAGGGGGTTGAGTGGGAGAGAGAGAGAGGTTAAGGGGGTGGAAGGGAATGATTGTAATTAACTAGTGGACTGATTGTGTAGCTGGCAGATTATACACTTCGTTGATTGTGTTGCATAGATGACGGTTTAGCTGAGTGATTGTGTACTGTGCTGTTTTATAGCTTTGCCACATCGCGATCTGATTGTGTGCTGAGTTGATCATGCATTTGGTTGAATTGACTTTAGGAATTGATGGCAAAGTGAGCTACAGTTTATGTGATGGAGCTTTGAAGTATAGTGAGCTGGTTGTATAATGGCTTGACTCCGTAGCACTTAGTAAGTTGATTGCGCAGAGCGATAACAACTGTTCAGTGAGTCGACTGAGTAATTGGGCGAATGTGAATAGCGGATTGATTGAATACTAAATTGATTTACGCAGTGAATTAGTCAAACCGTAAGCGAGCGCTGCAATGCGTTCGTTTCAGAATATAATGCTCATGTATTTTATTTTTTATCGGCTGTTAAGTAAAGGGATTGTGTATTGAATTGATAGTGTCATATTTGATTGATTATCTAGTTCTAGGGGATTGAGTAAATGCTCGGGTCGGGTTGGGGGGCTAGTTGAATAGATGATGGATAGACGCAGAAGGGAGAAGGGATAGGTTGCCTTTTCCGGACGTTTCGCATTGAAAATGTATGCATTTTTTTCACATTGTATTGGTACAAGATATAAACATCTAGTCCTGGGAAATCGAGACATTCTCCTTTGAGTGTATTTACGAAATTCTGTGTCTGTATGTCTTTGTATGAATGTGTATGACTTTGTGTCTTTCTCTGTGTATTTTTTTGTTTTTGTCTGTGATTCTGAATTATTTTAATGCTCACCAGAGGATTTTGTATATGTGTATATGCGTGAGTTCATACGTGTGTATGCTGACATGTGTATGTGTAAGTAATACACTAACGTTTTAGGGGACAAACATTTGTAGCTGTAAAGAAAATGTTGGGAGTTGATGGATAGAATGAGGATGGGGAGGTGTGGTTGAGGTGTAGTTGAGGTGTGGTTGAGGTGTGGCCGAGGTGTAGCCGAGGTGTGGTTGAGGTGTGGTTGAGGTGTGGTTGAGGAGTGGCCGAGGTGTGGTTGAGGTGTGGCCGAGGTGTGGCCGAGGTGTGGCCGAGGTGTAGCCGAGGTGTGGCCGAGGTGTGGCCGAGGTGTGGTTGAGGTGTGGCCGAGGTGTGGCCGAGGTGTAGCCGAGGTGTGGCCGAGGTGTGGCCGAGGTGTGGCCGAGGTGTGGCCGAGGTGTGGCCGAGGTGTAGCCGAGGTGTGGTTGAGGTGTAGCCGAGGTGTGGCCGAGGTGTGGCCGAGGTGTGGTTGAGGTGTGGCCGAGGTGTGGCCGATCTGTGGCCGAGGTGTGGCCGAGGTGTGGCCGAGGTGTGGCCGAGGTGTAGCCGAGGTGTGGCCGAGGTGTGGCCGAGGTGTGGCCGAGGTGTGGCCGAGGTGTGGCCGAGGTGTAGCCGAGGTGTGGCCGAGGTGTGGCCGAGGTGCGTCGTTAACTACGTCACTGTTAGTCATTTCCTGTTGGGGACGACAGGCGCCGTTGTGGTGAGGGATAGCTTCCTTCTACCCCTGCGACACACACACCCACCTACGCCCACCTACGCCCACACGCCAACGCCCAAAGACCCACACACCCACCTACGCCCACCTACGCCCACACGCCAACGCCCAAAGACCCACACACCCACCTACGCCCACCTACGCCCACACGCCAACGCCCAAAGACCCACACACCCACCTACGCCCACCTACGCCCACCTACGCCCACACGCCAACGCCCACACACCCACACACACACCCATGTACCATCACAATTAGTTTATATTTGTTTACCCCCTCAACTCACCTTCGTTTTCTGCACATTTAACATATTCTCTATTTTTGTTAAGACTTAAAGTTGATTCATCTACTCCTCTCCAATAATACATCCCCATTTTCACTTATAAATCCCCCCCAACGTCAAAATATGCTGTACTATTAATCATATCGACTCGCTCAATTGACGGGCTCTCGCATTAACTATTCATGGAGGTCCTCTGATTGGTTAGGTTCGAGCAATTTAGTACATCATTTTAGCGACGTCGTGGGTGGAACTCAAGAGGTCAGGATAGCATTATGGCCAGAACCGTTGTTCTAACATCAAGGTTCATGCTATGAGCTGTTATCCTCCTTATAACCCCGAAAACGGAATTGTCTAGAGCAACAGTTCAGCTAATCTTAGAGCCACCCGGTGTCCAATGCCACTTAGAGGTCCAACAAGGCCCCTGGTTCAGAACGATCTTTTCTGATATATTGTCGACCAGAGAGTAATCATTGATGACGGTGAACGAATGAAGTCATTAGTTGTGAGGATTGGGTCTTGATGTGTTTGTCAGTGATTGACAGCAGTGATCAGTACTGTTACCAATCGCAGAATGGTTCAGTCGTTAGTGGACCGGAGCTACGTGTTGGTAGAGGCGACTACCTACTTGCCTTCTGAGGGGTCCAGGGGGGGGTCCAGGGGGGGTCCAGGGGGTCCAGGGGGTCCAGGGGGGTCCAGGGGGGTCCATGGGGGTCAAGGGGGGTCCAGGGAGGGTACAGGGGGGTCCAGGGGGAGTCAAGGGGGTCCAGGGGGGTCCAGGGGGTCCAGGGGGGTCCAGGGGGTCCAGGGGGGGGTCCAGGGGGGTCAAGGGGTCCAGAGAGAGTCAAGGGGTCCAGGGGGAGTCAAGGGGGTCCAGGGGGTCCAGGGGGGTCAAGGGGGTCCAGGGAGGGTACAGGGGGGTCCATGGGGAGTCCAGGGGGTCCAGGGGGAGTCAAGGGGTCCAGGGGGAGTCAAGGGGGTCCAGGGGGGTCCAAGGGGGTCCAGGGGGTCCAGGGGGTCAAGGGGGTCCAGGGGGGCCAAGGGGGGTCCAGGGAGGGTACAGGGGGGTCCAGGGGGAGTCAAGGGGGTCCAGGGGGGTCCAGGGAGGGTACAGGGGGGTCCAGGGGGAGTCCAGGGGGGTTCCAGGGGGTCAAGGGGGGTCCATGGGGTCCTGAGGGACTCAGTGTCCCTGTGGCTTGGTATCTGACCAGGTCTCCTGGTTAGTGGCCTGGTCACATAAAGGCTGTTTGGACGCGGCTGCCTCCAAGCCTGATGAATGAATCACAGTTCGGTTGATCAGGTATACCTCTGACCCTCTATGCCGTGTGATTTTATGCCTTACCTATGCCGAAAGGACTTTTAAAGAATGTGTGTTAACTTGGCTTCGTTTAATAACAACTGGTGACAACTTTGACACTGTGTTTGGATCAATTAAGCTGTGGAGGTTGGCATTTTGCCTCATGGCCCTCTCCCTCCCCCCCTCTCCAATCACTCTCTTCCCTCACTCACTCACTCACTCACTCACTCACTCACCCCCTCTGCACTGTACGCCCATGAGCCACAAGCGGTACCATTAATTAGTGAAAATTACTCATGATGCGAATTTTTGCTTAAATGCATGACCCTGTAATACTGTTCTGTGTATGTATGTTTGTATGTATGTATGTATGTATGTATGTATGTATGTATGTATGTATGTATGTATGTGTCTTGTTATAATTTCAAACAAGCATTAAACCTCATTCCTGCTTGATACCTGCTTGATGGGGTTCTGGGAGTTCTTCTACTCCCCCAAGCCCGGCCCGAGGCCAGGCTTGACTTGTGAGAGTTTGGTCCACCAGGCTGTTGCTTGGAGCGGCCCGGAGGCCCACATATACCTGCTTGATGGGGTTCTGGGAGTTCTTCTACTGCCCAAGCCCGACCCGAGGCCAGGCTTGACTTGTGAGAGTTTGGTCCACCAGGCTGTTGCTTGGAGCGGCCCGCAGGCCCACATATACCTGCTTGATGGGGTTCTGGGAGTTCTTCTACTCCCCCCCCCCCAAAAAAAAAAAAAACCCGGCCCGAGGCCAGGCTTGACTTGTGAGAGCTTGGTCCACCAGGCTGTTGGACCATTCTCATAATTGCACAAATTGCCTCATTTTCATCCCTGCGCAACTCGTCTCATTTATATTCCTCTGTTGCGGTCACTTCTTGTTGGTCTTCAGAACTGAGGACACTGATTTGTTTTTTTACATTCTCAAGCCCCATCGTAAAAACCGCGGTGGGTTTTTTGGAGAGTTAAAATCACTGTAATAAGTGACGGTTCATGGACCTGTAATGATTATATTGGCTTGTGTAGGCTTGGATTTGGCGCTTCTGGCCAGGTGAAACTGTTCCATTTTGTTACGAAGTGGTAAATTAGAGAGAGAATGGGCTAGTTAAATAGGTCTGTGTGTGTGTGTGTGTGTGTGAGTGTACTCACCTGATTGGGCTTGCGGGGGTTGAGCTCTGGCTCTTTGGTCCCGCCTCTCAACCGTCAATCAACAGGGGGTACAGGTTCCTGAGCCTGTTGGGCTCTATCATATCTACACTTGAACCTGTGTATGGAGTCAGCCTCCACAACATCACTTCCTCTGTGTGTGTGTGTGTGTGTGTGTGTGTGTGTGTGTGTGTGTGTGTGTGTGTGTGTGTGTGTGTGTGCGTGTGTGTGCGTCCCTCCTCATTACCACAGTGGGTGGGGAGATATTAATATCAGTAGTCAGCGGGCGGTAACATATGTCTCACACAACCCAGACACGACAAGGGGAAACACCTCGCTAGAAAGAACTGAAAAATTATCTTATTTGTCACTTACATTGTTCGCTGCCTAAGGGAGAGCTACGTTTTTACCTATGGGGGTGGGGGGGATAAATGGGGGGATTGTGGGGGTAGGAGGGGGTTGGGGGAGGGGTTCAGTCTGGGATGTGGGAGGTTCGGAATCAACGAGCCGGATACACCAAGAGAAGGGGCGTGTATAGTGTGGCCGTGATGGGACAGGATCTGTGGGCGGCGTGGGCGTACATTGGGGGGATGGGCGTGCTAGGTCATAATTCCTGCTAGGTATTGTGAACACATCTACCAAGTTCTGTTTATTGTCTGTTCTGTTGCAAGTATTGTAAGTCTAACAGTCGTTCTGATTCTAATTTGTTGCTGGCGTTGGTAATCCGTGTTTTTCACTTTCAAAACAAATCCTTGTGTTTTTTGGTAATTAAATATCTATGATATTAAAGTAGAAGAATTGTCATTAATTAGTTTAATTTCAACTTGAAAGCAAGATGAGATATATATTGAAATATATATTACTATTTGTATCTTTTAGCTGTCTGCAGAGTCAAGCTAATAGCTCTTGGACCCCGCCTTTCTAACCGATCCTATTTTTTCCTCTATAATGTCTAATAAATATATTTTTCTCTAACAAACACACATCAACGGAAAGCAGCCAGTAGCAGCAACCTGTTCGACCCCAGGTATACATAATGCTTAGTATTGGTAATTGTATAGAGAGCATGATAAACTTGGACAGTGCATAGTGTAGTACATATATGTACTATAATACTCCTAAGATGTATATTAGGCCTAGGAATGTTAAGACAAGTCAGGTTCTTTAGCTACGTTTAAGATTGTTTTAGAATACAATTTTGACCTAATTCAGCAATTCAAAAATGGACTTTTCGGAGTTCAAAAGTTCATTTTTGTAAGTCTAACCAAATTGTTACTGTAAATACAATACATTTAAGAGTTTGGGCTCGAATTTCCAGAGTGTATACATATGAAATACATGAGCGAATTATTTTCCAGATACAGTATATTAATTACAGATACGACAAGTATAAAATAACGTGTTATTGTAATTACAAAAACCGCGAGAGACCTAATTGGGCAGGTGTTATATTTCATTTTATTAGTTAACGAGTAATTGCTCTCGTAATCGGATTCCTCGATAATTTTCAGATTAAACAAGCTAAATGATATATATATATATATATATATATATATATATATATATATATATATATATATATATATATATATATATATATATATATATATATATATATATATATATATATATATATATATATATGCGAACAAGCCTGGACGGTCTCCAGGCATATATGCAACTGAAAACTCACACCCCAGAAGTGACTCGAACCCACACTGCCAGAAGCAATGATGCAATTGATCCTGTACATCAGTTGCATTGCTTCTGACAGTGTGGGTTCGAGTCACTTATGGGGTGTGAGTTTTCAGTTACATATATATATATATATATATATATATATATATATATATATATATATATATATATATATATATATATATATATATATATATATATATATATAGCAGCGATCTCCCTGCCACACCCTGAACTCAGCAGCGCTCAGCCTGAATTACCTAAGAATTCACAGGGATTAGCCTACCACGCCCAGGAATCAAAACGTATCAACCTATCCTATAAAAGCTACGAGCCCCTACCTGACACTCCTCCAGGCACCCGATACAAAGGCCACAAGAAACGAGGTAAGGCACATCCAGAAAAATCCCTGGTGGTTCACAAAAAAAAAGTAGTGAACCCACCTCGATTCCTTCCAGGTAATTGAATCAAGTCGGGAAAAAAAGGAGATGGTAAATGTTCGTAGAAACGCGGAATGGA